CCCATGGCCAACCAGTTGGTATAACAGTGTAACTGCCTATGACAAAACCCCCTGGTGATTTCACATAGCTATTGAAAATAGCGATTTATAGTTGATTTACCTTTGAAAAAACTGATTTCCCATAGCTATGATGTGAGTTGACCAGCGGCTAACCCAGAAAAACCGGTGGATTCTTAATGGCTCCGCAGTTGAGTGTCGATGAAGGCGGGCATCTCAATCGTTCCAGGCTACCTCAAATGTGGGCGTTCATATGGGGATTGGAGTGGATTTAAGCATCCAAAATGGTGTTCATGTGCTGAAGCCAACAATGAACCATCTCCAAAATCACCATTTTTGTGGGTGTGTAAACCATCCTCAATGGTAGGTTTATTATTGGGTTGCCACACTGCAGCTGTCTATAAGCTCGATCATGTGCAGACACCCTAGATCCACATGGATATTTTTTTCCATCCCCGGTCAGATTACTGTAAATCTCCCATATGGGAACCTACAAGGAATCAATTCACATGTGTTTTCTGGTTCGTTGAATTGTTTTTTTTTTACAAGTCCAAATTAGGTACCCTCTGCGCAACGGGCTAGCAGAAAAATCCCTTATGGAAAACAACCATTGATATATGCATATAGACATGTTTATTGCCATGATTGATTTTGGGAGGCGAGTCGAAATTTGGAATTGCAAACGGTTTCAGTTGAAGTCTCGATTCCATGCTGTTTTGGGGCACTCGAGTTTTTACCATGGATGAATACCATACAACATCATACAACCATATGCCAAGTCCTCGAAACATCCATGAACCAAACGACTTGTTCTAAACGCATACAGCTGGTGTTGAAAAATCTCAAAACTCCGTACCATGAATTTCACACTGGGCAGCGGCAATGTTGAAAATATGTTTCCCCAAATTGGGGGCCCATCCCGCATTTTTCCCCACATCTTTGTGTGGGCTTCTTGTTTTTGGTTGTGCACTTCCGCCTCCTCCTTCCGCCGGCCGCCCACCATCACCACACAACTTGCCTACACAACTTACGTCACCACACAACTTGCTCACACAACTTACTCACACACAACTTGCACACACACACAGACACAACTTGCTCACACACACTTACTCACAACTTGTGTCCCCACTCACTCACACACAACTTGTCACCACACAACTTACTCACACACACAACTTACTCACAACTTACTCATCACAACCAACTTACTCACACAACTTGCTCACACACAACTTACTCACACACAACTTACTCGCAACTTACTCCTCACACACAACTTACTCACACACAACTTGTCACCACACAACTTACTCACACACACACAGTGACACACACACACACACCTTGCTCACACTCAACTTGCGTGGCAGGCGTGGCACTTGGTGACATCGACCGTCACTTTGCGTGGCAGGCGTGGCACTTATGGCACTGGCTCTGGTGGGCGCGCTTGGTTCCCACTTGACGCCGTTGTCGCCGCGGCTCTTTGCGTGGCAGGCGTGGCACTTGGTGACATCGACCTCTACTTTGCATGGCAGGCGTGGCACTTGGCGACATCGACGTGCATTCTGTGTGGCAGGCGTGGCACTTATGGCACTGGACTGGCTCTGGTGGTGCGCTTGGTTCCCAGTTGACGCCGTTGTCGCCGCGGCTCTTTGCGTGGCAGGCGTGGCACTTGGCGACGTCGACCTCGACTTTGCGTGGCAGGCGTGGCACTTGGTGACATGGACGTGCACTTTGCGTGGCAGGCGTGGCACTTATCTGGCCAAATTACTTTAATTCTTACCTCGTCTCCCTCGTGTCTTAATTTGTTCCCCATGATTACTGTCCTCGTTCGTTAATTTGCAGGTGCAAATTAAGGCTTTACCTCGTTAATTCGCAGGAAGAAAGTAGCTTGTGGGCCTTCTTTCCAGGGTCCAACCCCAAGCAAAAAACTTTTCAGCTTCCGAAAAGTTTTTTTCCACGATCCACGGTCTCTTGCAGGGATTTTTAAATCTGAGTCTGATCGGTCTTTGCGCTTCTTGCGCTTGGCTATAGACATCTCTGACATTATCGCAGAGATGCAATGCTCTTCTGGAGCAACTCTGAATCCTACTGCTTCTGCAGCCGTCAACCCACGAAGCGGGCCTCTGGCGAATAAAACTTTTTGGGGTCTGAAAAGTTTTTTCCCCACCTGCCAGGTGAGGGTTGTTAGATTTTATCAGAGCTGTTCTCCTCCGCCTCCGCATCCTCCTCCTCCTCCTCCTCCTCCTCAACCGCGACTTCCAGATCGCAATGGGCACTGCCGGACCTCAACCCCGACTTCCAGATCGCAGTGGGCACTGCCGGACCTCAACGGGAAGAAGGTCAGAAAAGATGTCAGATAGAATGTCAGAAGATATGCCAGATAGAATGCCAGAAAGAATGTCAGAAAGAATGTCAGAAGATATGCCAGACAGAATGTCAGAAGATATGCCAGAAAGAATGTCAGAAGATATGTCAGATAGAATGTCAGAAGCTATGCCAGATAGAATGCCAGAAAAAATGTCAGAAGATATGCCAGATAGAATGTCAGATAGAATGCCAGAAGATATGCCACATAGAATGCCAGAAGATTTGCCAGATAGAATGCCAGAAGATATGCCAGAACATATGCCAGAAAAGATATGCCAGATAGAATGCCAGATAGAATGCCAGAAGATATGTCAAATAGAATGCCAAAAGATTTGCCAGTAAGAAAATGTATAAATGTCATGGTGGGGATCATTCGAAGTGAAGTAATTTTCCTTCCTTGCCTGCTGACCGGCCTCTGGCGATAGAAAATAAAACTTTTTGGGGCCTGAAAAGTTTTTTTTCCTTCCTTGCCTGCTGACCGGCCTCTGGCGATAGAAAATAAAACTTTTTGGGGCCTGAAAAGTTTTTTTTCCTTCCTTGCCTGCTGACCGGCCTCTGGCGATAGAAAATAAAACTTTTTGGGGCCTGAAAAGTTTTTTTTCCTTCCTTGCCTGCTGACCGGCCTCTGGCGATAGAAAATAAAACTTTTTGGGGCCTGAAAAGTTTTTTTTCCTTCCTTGCCTGCTGACCGGCCTCTGGCGATAGAAAATAAAACTTTTTGGGGCCTGAAAAGTTTTTTTTCCTTCCTTGCCTGCTGACCGGCCTCTGGCGATAGAAAATAAAACTTTTTGGGGCCTGAAAAGTTTTTTTTCCTTCCTTGCCTGCTGACCGGCCTCTGGCGATAGAAAATAAAACTTTTTGGGGCCTGAAAAGTTTTTTTTCCTTCCTTGCCTGCTGACCGGCCTCTGGCGATAGAAAATAAAACTTTTTGGGGCCTGAAAAGTTTTTTTTCCTTCCTTGCCTGCTGACCGGCCTCTGGCCCCCCAAAAAAGTTTTTCTAGCCAAGCCCAAGCATGCAACAGAACCAATGCAAGGCTACCTCGTCGAGGTCGGCTAATTCTGATGAGCAAATTAAGGGCTGACCTCGCTAATTCCTGCAACCTGCCTCGTTGCCTCGGCTGTCCTCGCTATAATTTGTGCAGACTTATGGCACTGGACTGGCTCTGGTGGCGCGCTTGGTTCCCAGTTGACGCCCTTGTTGCCGCGGCTCTTTGCCTGGCAGGCGTGGCACTTGGCGACATCGACCTTCACTTTGCGTGGCAGGCGTGGCACTTGGTGACATCGACTTCTACTTTGCATGGCAGGCGTGGCACTTGGCGACATCGACGTGCATTCTGTGCGGCAGGCGTGGCACTTATGGCACTGGACTGGCTCTGGTGGTGCGCTTGGTTCCCAGTTGACGCCGTTGTCGCCGCGGCTCCTTGCGTGGCAGGCGTGGCACTTGGCGACGTCGACCTCGACTTTGCGTGGCAGGCGTGGCGCTTGGTGACATGGACGTGCACTTTGCGTGGCAGGCGTGGCACTTATGGCACTGGACTGGCTCTGGTGGCGCGTTTGGTTCCCAGTCGACGCCGTTGTCGCCGCCGCTCTTTGCGTGGCAGGCATGGCACTTATGGCACTGGACTGGCTCTGGTGGCGCGCTTGGTTCCCAGTTGACGCCGTGGGCGCCGCGGCTCTTTGCCTGGCAGGCGTGGCACTTGGCGACATCGACCTTCACTTTGCGTGGCCGGCGTGGCACTTAGCGACATCCACCTACGTTTTGCGTGGCAGGCGTGGCACTTGGTGACATCCACGCCGCAAGTGAGTCCATCTCTCTAACAACTTTGTCACGCACAATCTTTCACATCTCTCTCACACACAACTTTGTCACCCACAACTTTGTCACACACACAACTTTGTCACACACAATCTTTGTCAAACACAACTCTTTCGCACACAACGTTTTCACACACATCTCTCTCACACACAACTTTGTCACCCACGACTTTGCCACACACAACTTTTTCACACACATCTCTCTCTCATGCAACTTCTCTCTCACACACATCTTTGTCACACACAGCTTTGTCACACACACACAACTTTGTCACACACACACACAACTCTTTCACACACACAGCTTTGTCACACACAACTCTTTCACACACAACTTTATGCAACTTTGCCACAGACAATCTTTGACACACAACTTTGTCATACACACAATCTTTCACACACAGCTTTGTCACAAACAACTTTGTCATACACAACTCTGTCACACACACACACAACTTTGTCACAGGCAACCTTTCACACACACAACTCTTTCACTCACAATCTTTCATGCACACAACTCTTTCACTCACGACTTTGTCACACACAACTCTTTCACATACAACTCCTAAAATGATCGACCCTCCACCATCTCCTTTGTCCGTTCTTCTTTCTCCGTGCCACTTCAACCACTTTTTCTGATTATTGGATGAAGTTGACTTGTGGGGTTATCCGGTCCTTTAATTGTGTGATCCATACCAACTGGTAATTTATCATAGGTATGGCAGCCATGGCCCATTTACTTCAATGAATTCCCCATTATTTTAAGGTGATGTTCCTTGGCTTTGTTAAATTGCCAAAGGAACACCTTCACCCAATCATAACCATCGCACCAACGCATCAGGTACTGTGACGACGTCCTCACAGGTATACATCGTGACCGCTGGCACCTGGGATTGTCCAAGAATACGATATACCCAAAACAGCAAATTTACATCATTGGGAAAACACTGATTTTCACCAGCGTGTTTTGGGGGTGCCGGTTTTTTTCGACCAAACCATAATAAGCTGATAGTAGCCAGCAACCAAAACTCGTGGGAATATCAGCCATGGTTCGGTGGACAAACCATGTGGCTGAAACGTGCGAAAAGTCCCCGGAGATCAAGTCAGCCCCAGTTGGAGTGAGGAACCTTTGGGACATGTTCGGTTCCGATAAGCTGGTCCTACTGGTGCAAAACGCAATCAAGCAACAATAACAATCTAACAATAGCAGTAAGAAAACAATGCAAAACCAAAAACACAAGAACAAGAACAACCATAACCAGACCAGTTCTGGATACTTAAAAATCCAAAAAACAATGAGGAAAAAATCAACAATAATACCAAAATAACAAGATCTCAAAGTGGCAACAACGATCCGGCAGACACGCCCATTCAGACGAATGCCAGTTACTAAAAATAATACCCTCTGGATATTTAACATAGCTATGGAAAATGGCCCATAGAAACAGATGATTCTCCCAGCTAGAAACTTCCATTTATAATTGCCATTGAAAATTGTCATAGAAATCGTGGATTTACCCATTGAAAATGGTGGATCTTTCCACTTCGCTATGTTAAACAACCAGGGGGTACCCCAGGCCAACCCTGCAGCTGTGATCCCCGGGCCCACAGCGAGCGCATCTTCCTGTCTTGGCACCGTGGTTCCCACCTCAGCGCTGGGGTAGGCCCCACCACTGGTTGGCGCGGAACAACTTGTCTGATCCATCTGGTTATGACTATTAAAAGTGGTTTACCTATTAAAAATGGTGATTTTCCATGGCTATCTTAAATAACCCGAGGGATCCAGAGGGTATTGTTTTTAGTAACTGAATAGCCATGGTATAGATGACCCATAGAAATAGATGGTTTACCGTTCTTTAAATAATTTAAAAATGCTGGATCTTTCCATGGCAAACTGTTAAATAACCAGATGGTAACCCATCCCAAAAATGTCAGCCAATTGGGTAGCTCATATCTCGAGTTGGAGAGTAGAATCAGAGTAGAATGTCTTTGAAAAACTTGTGTTCTATTCTGCTATGCTTTAACTATCGCAATCATCATCATGACTGTCATCAGTTCTTGTCACTAATTCCACGTACTCATTGCTATTTCTTGGAATCCCTCATCGTCTGTGCACTGTATTTCCAGTATTTTCCACTTCTGGACTGGATAGACAATCCCTCTTTGTTTCTGGTGACCTGGCCTTGGTTTCTAGTATCACGGGAGTAGATCTGTGTAAGATATAATTATGCACACAGATCACACACGGTCAGATGGACATTCAGATATGGTTTTGCCTGAAAATAGGGCTACGAGTCTGATTATGAATCACGATGTTTCCCATTCACATGACCATTCTGGGTATACCTACTGTTCAAGCCCATAGTCACGACGTTCCCCATGAAAAATCCGATGAATTTTAGCCCATGAAAACTATGGGCTAATCATACGATAGAATAATACCCTCTGGTAAACTAACATAACTATGGAAAACCACCATTTTTAATGGGAAAATCCACTATTTCTATGGTCATTTACCAGAGGGTATCTCCCACGATCTGCCATCAGTTCTTGGACTTACCAGGCCCTAAGGGCCCTCACCATTGTGCCAGAGGCTCAAACCACATGTCCGCCTCCTGCAAAAGGGGACGGCGGAGTTTTTTTTGATGATAGAAACATGGGAATATCATGGAGAAAATCTTATGGGAATATCTTGGGAATATATATATATATATATTTTACTATTTATTTATTGATTTATTTATTTATGCATGTTTTATATACATTTATATATATATGGTGGGTTCTTAAGTCATGTGGGATCCCCGGTCGTCACTGGTTGGTTGTTAAGCTATACTAAGTCATTGTCATCACGATTATTTGCGGGTTACCCCACCATGATGACCATCCCAAGAACTAAGTTAATCCAATCCAACTAACTTGCCAATGGCTCAAATGGCGATTAGTTCATCACTAACCTGGGGATCATCATCTCAGTACTATTGTTCTAATGGCAATATAGACATGTAGTTATGGGATGTTATGGGTGTAAAGCGGGATATAATGAAAAAATGATCAGATATGGTGGAAATGGGATTAAAAAAAGCAACAAGATGATGATCTTCGGGTTTGCCCAACAATGGGAGATACCTCAAAATTGCCCTTCCAACTTTCGAACATGATGATTTTGCCCATGGTTGGCCGCTATAGTTTGGGTTTATTTCTTGTACCCCAGTTAATTCTGGGCCAACCTAACAGAGATGTGCTGACCTAGCATGTTTCATGATATGATCTTTGATTTTGTCTAAAGGTGTAATGTTTTTGACCCCAATTATTGTCATTTCAAAAGGAACAATGATGATTGCCAGTAGATTTTAGTGGTACCCTATGTTCGAGTCGGATGGTCTTGAGCCCATGATGAAACAAGAGGGAAAAACCATCCCTTGAAAATAATGTAGTTATGATAAATAAAATATGCGTACATGTGTATATTATGTATATATGGTGTATGTATATATATATATACATATACACAATGAGTATCTCAATGATAATATATATATATATATACATATCTAATTATATATACAGTAGATATATATATATATATATATATATGTGTGTGTTGGCTGCATAGGCTAGTATAATCTATGATATTAATAGCATATTCTATTACAAGGAGTTGCCACCCACTTGTCGACTTCAGGCGTCATCCCAGTTCCCTTCCCGCCGACATCGATTCCCACCAGTGGCTCCGTGATGGTGTGTTGGCCGCCGTACTCAAAAGTCACTGGCGAAGGCAAAAACCAAATCTTCACCTGGCAGTGTGGGTCAAAACCCATGTTGTACCCCTGTAGTTCACATCAAAATAGCTGGGTTAAAATGGATGTGAATAACCCACTAAAAATGGTAGTATAATAGGTACTGATCCAAATCTTCGCCTCACTGTTGTAATCTGCAAAGCACCAGTCCCCTATTTTTAAACGACATCCTGCTACCGCATATCCGATTGATGAGGCTTATGATGGCTTATGGCTAGCTGGGAAATCCCAGAACTAGCCATGGAGGTTTACTGGTTGGTGGTTGAGCCACCTACCCCCTCTGAAAAATGATGGACTTAAAGTCAGTTGGGATGACATTCCCAACTTTTCATGGAAAGTCATAAAATTCCATGGTTCCAAACCACCAACCAGTATAGTTTACAGCTGGGAAAATCATGGAACTGGGGAGTTTTCAGCCATGTGACTGACCCGGGTTGATTCACCATGGGCGCAAGCTACTGGTAAGTCATTTGGGATGTAGTCATCTCAAGTACGATAAGTAGGGCTAGAAAATAAGAAACATGCAAAATTAGATGAGTCAATTGAAGCAAGAAAAACATCAATTGAATCATAGATGAAGATTCGGAAATATAGGTAGAATATGGTAGAATATTCAACATTGTTCAACATTGTTCAACATTATTCAACCACCAAAACAGTATCGCTTACCAACAGCATCCAACATTGATCCCCCCCGCCTGCGCGATGTCTCCCTGTCGATTCAAATGGTAGTCACAGCGAAATCGAAGCCTGACATCGAAGCTGCGAAAATCTTACTGACTTCATGCAGATCTAATCTGATTTCATGGGGATTTAGAGGGGATTGAATTAGGGATTTGCAGATGAACCACTGATTTCTTTCCCAAGCGTGGCAGGCTCGCAGTGAGCCTTCCATGATGTTATCCTCGCGCTTTAGGGAGCCGGACAGCTCAGGATGGTTGGCTGTTTCAGCTTGGTAAGGGTAAAGATAAACAAGCCATTTGTTGAATTATCTGATATATAGTGGGATGATTGTTGATATATATATATATGTGTGTGTGTGTTTATAATGAACTAGACAATAGCTATTTGTTGAAGTGGGGTATGTAGTAATCAATTTATAGCAATCAACTATTCTCAGCTATATAAATATAGGGAAAACAAATGATAAGCAATTACATAAAATTATCGGTAGTCATAATTAAAGTGTCCTTGACCCTCCAAATCCTAGAAAAATATGTGTTTTCGGAATTTGACCTATATCGACTGATTTTACCCAAAACACCTAATTAGATACTACTTTGGTCTTCGATTTTAGGACTTTGATTGCATGTTTTTGGGCTTGGTGAGACAAAGGCCAAAAAATGTTTGCAGCGCATCAAACGACTAGGGATAAAATCCGCAAAACCCCGAAAAAAAAACGCAAAAAAAACGCAAAAACCCACCAAAAAAAAACCGCAAATCCTGAAATCTCGTTGTTTTAGGTAGTTTTCGGATTTTTTTGTTGTTCCAAAAATCATCACGGTTTGTGTACCCGGCCGTAGTGCTGAGTTTTTCCCAGAAACATACATGTTTGGAACAAAGTGAATCATTTTTTGGTTTGTTTGACCTATCTTCTTAGAACGACCATTTTTTCCTCGGCAGTGGAGGGTCGAGGGTGGTATGTAGTAATCAACTATTATCAACAGCGTGACATGGATTTTTCTACAGATACTTCTTTGGATAATCCCGTCCCCCCTAGTAGAAAAAACCTCCCGTTCTATGGGGTCCCAAATAATGTAAATCCCCTAGATTCGGAAAAAACCATGGTTTTTGTTTAGGTGGAAGGGATTCATTTTCCTTCATATGTGCCATGGTCCATTACATGGAAGATTGGGTATGGTCATCGAGTCATCCATCCTTGCTGGGTACAAAATTTACCCTGTTCATAGGGGGATGACCATGGCACATCCACTTTGGGATCAGTATCAGCACATCGTCCATCCTGCGTTGGATATCTGGTGTCTGAAAATTGGCTAGCCTCAAATTTCATGCTTGAGAAAAAACAAACGTTCGCCCTTTTCTTATGACAGTCAGAATGATTTGTCAATTATTCTGAGTGTCATATTTAACAATGTTTTGGACAAGCGTCAAAAAAAAAGATGGATAAAGCCCCAGTTTTTCAGCACAGCTAGGACATTTTTGGACCATCTCAAGTCCAGGCGGATCTTTTGACGGAACCAAAAACGGCAAGGCGGTCCTGGAACAATGGGACTTTGGCCGCGTTGCCAAACCACTGCACGCCCTTCCTGGGCCAACATGGCCAACATCGCCATCAAAGTAAACGGAGGGAACATGTCACCTAAATGAGTACATGAATAAAGGCTAATCAAAGAAAGATTCACATATGATCTCACCAGAAGATTCATCAATATCTGGTTGGTGGTTGAGCCACCTACCCCTCTGAAAAATATGATGGACTTCCATTTTTTTTAGTCAGTTGGGATGATGTTTCCATTCCCATGTATGAAATGGAAAATAACAAATGCTCCAGTCACCACCAACCAGTGGCCCAACAATTCGATGAGTTTCTGCAAAAAAAAAACTTGGATGATCCCATTCGCCGGCGATGCACTATGAAAAAGGTGGGATTTGATCATCATCACTATCCTCTGGTAAACGTTTACATAACTATGGAAAATCACCATGAAAACAGCTGGGTAAATCAACTTTTTTATATTTGTACCCATCATCATTGTGTACCCAATATTGCTGGGTGTCCAATTTTTTTGCTACCCAACACGATTATTCGCTTCCCTGATCGAAAAAGACCAGCTCAACTTGGGCGATGACTTCGGGTCCCCTCATACAACTTAGGAAAACATCATATTGTGTGGTGTATACCCATTTCATTCCCACGTTAAGTCCCCATTTCCCGATATTATCATAATATATGGCAGTGTGTCAAAACCTTGTACCCCTGTAGTTCACATCAAAATAGCTGGTAAATGGATGTTCATCCCACTAAAAATGGTATTAATAGGTATTGGTCCATAGCCATATGACTCATAATGATTCATGGGATATCCCCGGGCCCCAACCAATGGATCAGTAGCCTGCAGCCCAACATCATCTGCTTTGGATTCTCGTGCACCTCATCACATCGACTGCCCTCTGGTACGACATGGCCAGCTGGAAAATCTGGAGGTTTAATGGTGATTAATGGTGATTAATGGTGATTTAATGGGATTTCATGGTGGTTGAATGGGATCTAATGGTGATTAATGGAGGTTTAACCTCTGGTAAACTAACATAGCTATGGAAAATCACCATTTTCAATGGGTAAATCCACTATAAATCAAGCTCCATGGCTAGCCGTCTTGGATTGCACTAGTCGCACTCATCCAGGAACCCGGACGTGCTGCTCAGGTAGCCATCCGCCCGGAACATTGTCCTGGTTCGAATCTACGTACTTACTGCTTAAAGGTGATATAATATTAATAATATTATATTTATAAATATCTACTATATATATATATACGTATATATATATATACATATATATATATGTATTATATTATGGAAATATCCCCAGTTGTATGCGGGTTCTGAATGGATTATAAACCACTAACTAGCTGGGATGCACATCCTACTAGTACCAGTTGTAGATCAGTTAAGTTTCATAAAGTGAAGTCTGTCATAGCCCCAGAGAACCTCTGAGACAGAAGAAAGGGTTCTGAAGTCTATGCAGGGATCATTCCTGCAGAGGAAATATGGGTATGGTTCAAGGGTCTCGTCTCAAAGATGTGGACTGAAGAGGCAAAACCCATTGGAACTGACAACCCCAGGGGATGTCGCAATTGACGGGTGTATTGACCATGGTGCTACCTGGGCCCACCGCAGAACGCCTCAGCTTCAGATTTCACCTGGAACAAAGCGGCATGATCTGTGATGCGAATAGAGATTACGTATTATTCAACTAATATTATATATATATATGTAATGAAGTATTGAAGTACCATGAAATAAGAATGAGTGTATAAGTGTGTATAATTCATCCCGTCTCAATGATAAACACCACCACCAGAAACTGGTCTCTTTGTACTGGATCTGTTCATCATAGCATCCCTTTGTTGGGAGGTTATTATGAAACTGGTGAAAAACTGTCATTTCAGTTCTGGAAAAAGGGAAATAGCCTAGATTAGTCGGGTGCCAACACATGTACGATGTACGATGCAAGAATCAGAATATGGGTACATAATCTCCACAACTCCACAATTGGATCAGAGATTTTTACAAAGCATCGTCAGCTAAACATGTCCATTCAGTTCTGGCTAAATTCCAGTTTTTTCCAGTTTTTCCAATAAAAAAACCTTGGTTTTTCCAATGTGGAACTTCCCAATGTTAAACCATCACTACCCTCTGGTAATTTAACATAGCTATTTAAAAAAAAAAACACCATATTTAATAGGTAGATCGACCATGAATGGCAATGTTCAATAGCTTTTTGTATGTTTACCAGAGGCTACTGGTGATCCAAGAGCGAACCAAGACCTGACCAAACAAAATCCCGGTTGCTTCGAACCTTCAAAACCTCAGCCAAACTCTCGTCATTCACCGTGCCCTGGCGACCAGCGCTGAGAAAACCTTCCGTTTTTTTCATCATTTAGAGGCACTGAATAGGCATCTTCTATGTCAATCACTGTCAATCACTGTCAACTCCAAAATCATAAAGTATATGGTGTACATCAATTTGTCATACATCTAAGATGTTCGAAAGATCACGGCCTCGAAATTCAACCTGGAACCTAGGTTCGTGGCCAGATCGAACAAGACTTCCACCTTTTAGACCCCAGTAATTATAGGGTTCCATGTAAATTACAGTGGTGTAACTATGGGGATATGAATCATCCCCTTACTTTTGTCATTCTTTGTTGGCTCTTCAACGCTGCAAAGCAACTTCCCGCAACCACTTCCCGGGCCTCGCTCTCCTGCCAGGGAAACGCTGCCAAAAAAAATCGTCCAAAAGGTTCGGATTCCCTTGGGTAATTACGATTTGTAAATTTTAATGAAAGAAAATTAAGTAATTACTATAGTAAATAGATGTAAATAGTAAATTTAGTGGGTAATTAAGTAAATCTGTGTGAAATGAAGTCGGCTTACCATGTCGGACTTGCTAATTTTCATGATCGTCAAGCATTTGACATGCCGCAGGTGAATCCTGGGCGTGATCATCAATTTTCCCCGACGTTGGTCTTTTCACATGGGCGATCCCCCACATCAAATCACAGGGTTTATTCTGTAGTATCCCAACTAAATGCTCCCATCATATATCTAGTTGGTGGTATACCTACCCCTCTGAAAAATGATGGAGTCCGTCAGTTGGGATGACATTCCCAACTGAATGGAAAGTCATAAAATTCATTAAAATTCCATGGTTCCAAACCACCAACCAGTATATCATGTATCATATAGTTCCCAAAAAAAAGAAACATATGGTTGGTTGAATCCACGTTCTTCCTGACCCGCTTCGAAACACCCCTGGAACACGTCGTCGCCAAGCCGCACCTGTCGTGCTGCCAGCCACTCCACCAGACCCACATTCACAAAGCCTGGGAGCTGGTGCGGGGGTGACCCGTGGATCTGGGATATCCCCAGTGAAATCGTCCCCTGTGGAATATGGTCCCAAAATATGCTGCAAATATTGAGGTATTTAGTATTTATACAATTTTATACCCCAATTCAAGAAAACGGTCACGTCATTGCAAATCCTCTTTCTGGTCCCCACTAAACGGGCCCCGACTGTCATGCTTTCAATGTAGTTTCTTCGGAAGACACGGCAAAGCCGCAGCGTTGACTCACCCTGCGGTGATCTATGGTGATCCACAATGGTTGCAAATGGTCCTAAACTATTTGGGTGGCAGCATCTGGTAGTAAGACATCGCTAAGGCAACAAAGATCTTTGATACCCTACCCATTCCCACGCCTAAAACTCAGCAGCTCTGCTTAATTAATCATTTTGAATTTCCACTAAACAAGCATTTCAGGGTATGTTTGCATACATTTTCCATAGCACCCAGACTTACTCTTTGTTGGTGACATCCAAGGCTAAACATCTTGACCTCCGTGGCCACCATAAAATTCTTCGCCAGGTGGCAGTTGGCGGTCTTCTCAACCGCCAGGGCGAAGTTGAAACTGGCGTAGTCGCTTGGTCTGTGAAAATGATGGAAAAGTGCTATAAAAACCATGGAAAACTCAATGATTGATAGTGTTTTGATGTGTTTTGGGTGTTCCATGGTTTTCCCAGAATTGGTAGAAGGATGAAGGAAAATAATCCTGAAATTGTCCAAAAACATGACTGACTTGGGACGATATCGCAGCCAAAATGACCGGAAAACCATGAATTTCCCATGTTGATGATCCCCGAAGAAACCGTCATCAACATTGCCATTTTTTGCAAAACCACCCCTTTTTCAGACACATCCAGTTGGTTAGATCCCTTTTATATCATGTTTGTCTGGTTGAGAAACAAATATCCTCCGGTAACCAGGCATGGTTTGCTGGAAAATCACCGAATAAAGTTGGATGAATTTCCCAGCTATAAGCCTCCATTTATTGGGGATTTCCCAGCTAGCCACGTTTGGTTGCCGAAGGGTAATGACTATAAAACCATGTATCTTGGTCAAACCGCTATTCAATCCCTATTCATCACCCTAAATGTGGGGTTGAAAAACATGATTTATGTGACATTACATGACAATAAATGTACATAAATATTTGAAACCACCAACCAGATCCATTTTTTCATGGCTCACCCTTCCCGCACCTCCATGTGGCTCCCACAGGCGGCTTCCAACGCCCAGAGTGCCAGGCCTCAAACCCCCATGGGGTGCCCCCAGTTATGGCCAGCTTCGTCAGGAAAATGGAGATGAAGCATCAAATTTGGGGTAGTCTATGTTCAAAATGTTCAAGAAAAATGAAATGTTTAAAGAAAAAAGAAAGTGGTAGTGCAACTGAAAGGGCGTGACGTCTATTGAAATCGTTTTTTTCTCTGTGCACGGGTTAGATGGCTTTCAGCGTGAAAATTAATCTCCCACAGCAGAAATACGAGCCCTGGATTTTTTTTTTAGTGGCAGGGCGTCACGATCAAAAGTTGATATCAACCCTCAGGGACCGCCAAATATCCATCAATGGGGAAAAACAATGGAAACTGGATTCATCCAAATTTTGGACATGCTTCATCGATCTTCATCGCACAACTTGGATCTTGGCATTTCTTACCTCCAGCTTTGCCACGCTGAATGGTTTGAAGGTGTTTGCCAAGTGTAAAACACGGCATATCAACCACCTGCCAGGCTATCCACTGATTGTTTAGGGTCCAAGTGTTTCAGAGGTTCATGATCACATGGGTAAGAAAACATATTCACAATATTCTATGCCCATGGTATCCCCATGTTAGTCCTACTATCCATAAAATTGGATCTCACGTCATTCTTTGAATTCTGAAGCCTTATTGTGATTGTTACATCACCATTTGCGGATTCTGAACCGTATATAATAACCCAAAAAAAGATTCAAACAAACAACCATTAATTTAGGAAAAATATGACGAATTCTTGTATTTTTGTAACTTTACCATTTACTCTGCATCGTTTTGGGGTGCAATACCCAATCTATACCAGGAAAATGCTGGTAAAATCCCTATGAAATCCCATAAAATCACATAAAATCCCTAAGATGCTGGTAATTGACACTTAAAACCCCTGCTGTTTTTTGGCCGTCTCCTCCGACAATAGGCCTCCGCCCGGTGGCATCGGATGATCCCTGGCTCCAACCTGGGCCACACCCACAATAATTATGGAGCCACCATATCCCAACGTATGCGGGGTTAAAGCCCCATTGTTTTTTCTTGTATTATATTGTATCCATAAGCACTAGCAAGCACCCAAGTACCCAGAGTGCCCCCATTCTCACCTGATGGTGCGGTAGTCTTCAGGGCCTTTCATCGTCATCCGGCAGAACCTCGCAGCGCAGTAGCCCTTGCCATTAAACGGGAGCTAGGGGTCAATTTATCAAAAGAAATCCTTAATGGTCGAAGGAAGTTTAGAAGTCAAGCTTCCGACAGTATGGACAGATGAAAAGCACAGATGGGAAGAATCAGAGAGAAGAGAAGAGTAGAAGAGAGAAGAGCAGAAGAGAGAAGATCAGAGAAGAGAAAGAGTCAGAAGAAAGAAGACGCAGGTGCGCGAAAAGGTACGAAAGTCGCGAAACACTGAATTTTTCCAATGATTTGTGGCTCCGGAGGGTCGAAAAGTAGGCTCGCTAAAGCGGCGGGTGCGGAGCCATGTGGCCAGATGATTGAAGAAAAATTGCACACCCTTGTGGCGCGAAGCGCATTTGCAAGTGAAAAAGTAAAAAACACCTCATGTTCGGACCACTTTTGGAAGTTGAGATGTCGAAAAAGTGCACGCCGTTGTGGCGCGAAGGACATTTCGAAGTCAAAATGTGCAAAACACACCATGTTCGGACCACTTTTGGAAGTTGAGATGTCGAAAAAATGCACGCCGTTGTGGCGCAAAGCACTTTTCGAAGTCAAAATGCGCAAAACACACCATGTTCGGACCACTTTTGGACGTTCAAATGTCGTTTCGCGTGGCAGGCGCAAGGGACCGTGCACCTTGTCAAAAGTGAGCAAAACGTAAGCGTTTTATAGCATTTTCAACTACAACCACCACTACACCACACTACACTACACTCCAATACACTACACTACAACTACAAGTACACCTTCACTAACTTCCACCACACTACACTACACTCCGCTACACTACACTCAGTTACACACAATTACTATCAATTACTGTACATTCAATTACACTACACTACACCACACTAAATTCCGCTACACTACACTACATTACACTACACTACGCTCCACTACAGTACACTACAACTACACTACACTACATTCCACTACACCACACTCCACCACACTCCACTACACTACACTCAATTACACTAGACTACACTACATTATACTACACTACACTACATGCCACTACACTACACTACACTAACTACAACTACAATTACAACAATACTACATTTGCACTATGCTACACTACACTACACTAGTTACACTACGCTACACTACACTACACTAATTACACTACACTACACTACACTGCACTGAACTACACTACACTACACAACACTGAATGACACTGCACTACACCTACAACTACAACTGCAACTGCAACTGCAACTACGCTACATTACATTACACTACACTAATGACATTACACTACACTACACTACACTACACTACATCACACTAACTACAACTACAACTACATCAGACTACACTACACTACACTACACTACACTAATTACATTACACTACACTGCACTACACTGCACTACACTACACTACACCCCACTCCACTACACTACACCTCACTACACTACACTCCACTACACTACAGTTACAGTGCACTACACTCAATTACACTACACTACATTACACCACGCAACACACTACACTACACTAACTACAACTACAACTACAACTACACTACACTAATTGCATTACACTACACTACCCTACACTATACTACACTACACTAATTGCATTACACTACACTACACCACACTACACCACACCACACCACACTACACCACACCACACCACACCACACTACACTCAATTACACTACACTACCCTACCCCACATTGCATTGCATTACATTACATTACAATACACTCATTACACCACCACAAATGCAACTGCAACTACACTACACTAATTACACTACACCATAACTACAACTCCACTACACTACAACTACAACTACAGCTGCACTACACCACACTACATCCAGCAGTTGTGGGTGAGGTGACCGACCAGGTGACCACTGCAACCATTGCAGCCACTCCAAAAAACACAGCTCCAACCACCTTTCGGTCCATCAGTGGATTCGCTCTGCCATCCATGATTCACAACAACCAATCTCTCCTATAGGTTTCCTATTTTTGAAACTTCCGCCGCCGCCTTGTGCGGTACTACTGGTACTCTAATGATACACCATATACCATGTCTTGACCATGGCACATATTTAAAATTTGAAACAGCCTTAAATAGTGCAGAAAGTGGTTCTGCTTGACAAGAGTAACATTGTGAGTGGGGACACCCAGACGCCCACTGGTCCTCCTGCACTGCAATTTTGGCATTCTAGCTTCACCCAGTGGGTTCGCAAAGTTGTGACTTTCTCCACGTCGTCAATCTCCTACTTACCCTACTGGGGTGAACCACCAAGTATATTCTTATACAATAGTAACAATACAACAATAGCACTCATCACATGTACCAATACCAATAAATTCCAAAAAACTGATCATGGTACATCAATCCCATCTTTGGATTCCAATACTGGATTCCAATTACAAAATACCAAGACCAATACCCTCTGGTAAACTAACATAGCTATGGAAAATGGCCCATTTATAGTGAGTTTTCCCATTAAAAATGGTGGATCTTTCCATAGGTTTTTGTATGTTTACCAGAGGGTAAATTCCAATTCTCCATGGATTCCAATAGGGGTTGCTATATATCAATCCCATCGCCTGGTGAAGTCTTTCCCCAGACCCTGATGGATCGACTCGGCCTCAGACTGAGGATCGACGGATGTCACTTAAATATGGCACCCTTAAAACGGGAATTGATCCCAAAATGGGGAGTGAATTTTGACACAAACATGCTGATTGAATCTGATTGAATCTGATTGAACCTGATTGAATCCGATTAAATGAGGCTATTCAACAAGCAACATGCTGACCTAACAGAAAAAAAAAGTGGCCGAAGCTAAACCCCCTGACACGACTTGCCTGTGACATCAATTTTTTGGGTTTCCTAATGTCTGGGGGATATCCAAGTCACCAGAGGTTTCAATAGCAAAATGGCTATGGATCAATACCTATGAAAATACCATTTTTAGTGGGATGAACATCCATTTTAACCCAGCTATGACTTGATGTGAACAAAAAAGGGGTACTATTGGTTTTGACACACTGCCAAAATGGACTCATGTTGGATGATTTGGTTGTCCCCAAATAGTGCACCTCCAGACGTGCACCTTTTTCTTCTCTGGCATCGGAGGTGTCTGACGTGGGCGGTGCTGAATCTGGAAGTCACCCTGCAGTGTTAGAGGAATGTCAATCCAAACAGCTCGTAATTGCATACAAACTCAAACTTCTGGATGGTAGATTAATTTACCCATCCATCAAAAACACATTGCATATGGAAATCCATAATTTGTAGACGATTCATGAGTATTACCTATATCATATTGAACTATATTAAAATGTGGATTTCTTATGCTTTCTTCATTTGCTGGGAACTACCCAGCACCAATCCGCGACGCGCGCGGTGCTACAATCTGCTCCCTCCTTTCAGGAGGGCTACTGCGCAATGAGTCGCCTTTTGCTTTGTGCCCAAAACGATATGTATGTATGTATATATATATGTATATATATATATATTATGTATATTATATGTATATTATATGTATATACGCGGTAACTACATCTAGATATACGGATTTTTTATATACGAACTGGTACTTTAGACTACCTCCGGGAAGGTTTTCTTTGGCCCGCCTGGCCATTTAAACATACGGAATCCAATTCAATATTTAAACATACATTTACATATACATAAATATATACGGATGGAACTAGTGTTTCATACTACCTCCGGGGCCTTGTGGTCTGGCCCGCCCTCCACATATTCAAATGTCGTTACCGTATACAGTATACATATATATATAGTATACGTATAGTTATATACGCATATAATCATTAGGGGAGAATCATTCTAGGGGAATATCCTTCCAATATGATGTTCAATAATTAGGGAAATAATTCAACTTGGATTTTCAAACGGAAATGAAGAACTTGAAGAAAATGCTTGATCGCATCTAACTTGGGCCATTGAACCCCAACATAATCATGTTTAGTTACTTATATACTAATATCAACAACAGTCGCAACAGTGGTGCAAACTTTTGGTGCAAACTATCCAATTTTGGTGCAACATCGGCTATATCGGCTAGGGACTCCTGACATCACCGACCCGGAAAATCCTGGTGGCAAAGCAAAGGACATACCCTCTGGCAAACAAGCATGGCTTGCTGGAAAATTCACCTCAATTTGTAGATGGTTTTCCCATTCACGTTGTGTTGCTATGGGTCAGGTCACCCTGGTACCCTTCAGTTGGCATCAACTGTTTTTCTTGGCTGTTGTGGATGTCTTCTACTCCAAACATACGGGAAATACAAGATCATTGACTCATCCCCATCCCCAGAATCATCCAGACCTTTAGGTAGTCCCCCATAGAAAATTCATGAAAATTCCAGCCATCGCATCGTTTCCGAAGTCACGGCCCTTTGAAGGCCTTGTGCGGTCGTTGAAGGGAAGGTTAACTAGAAAAGTCTATGATTTGGAGCTAAAACCTTGGTTTTTTCTACTAAATTTTGACTTGTGGCTCTCAGAAGTCAATCCGATTCCAAAAGCGTGGGAAATAGATTGACATCACCCAAGACTCTAGTTACTTTAGTTGGTATTTGCTGTTTCGATTTCCCACATGTCGATTGCCTTCTTCCTTCCGTAGAATCCTTCTGCGCTGTTCAGATCTCCATTTTTTTCGCTGCATAAACCCATGAAACTCCAACAGCTATGGAGTGCCCATAGCTATTTCTGCTATTTGGGTATGGGTCAAAACCTTGGTACCTAGTGAACCCCAAAATAGCTGGTAAATGGATGTTCATCCCATTAAAAATGTATCTATAGGTATTGACCCATACCTATTTCTTTACTAAGTGGTGGTGTCGAATGAATCAAGGTCCCTAGGTACCTTGGTGAACATCGATTGGCAAATGGATGGTAATCTCCTCAAAAAAAAATGGTGTGGCATAGTTACAGCTAAGCCCCAAATAGATCGAAAAAAACGGATGGGAAACTAGGTCCTATATGGTCCTATAGCTATAGGTATTGACCCATCTTGTTTTTTTTGGATGGTGCATGATGCTCGGCCAGCCTCCAAGTCTGCAACGCTAACGTCGGCGCTGTTTCAGTCTCCATGCAATTTGCAGACTTGGTCGATGATTTCCTGGCGCGCAAACTTTGTGGGATCAGTTTCGAGTAAGGAAAACTATATATATATATGTATATGTCTATATATCCACATCACATCATATTACAAAATATAAATCCATATAAATCCACCATTTTGATCCATTTTGAATGGCAGAACCATTCAGTTTCCATGGCTTCACCTGGCTTCACCTGGCTTCACCTGGCTTCACCCGGGTGCCCGGGCCCGGCAAATGGGACATGTCCCTCCGGCGAGTTGGAGTTTCTTGGCACAACCGAAGCAAGTGCTCTGGTGGCACCTCGGGGGGATCCAATGTCAACCTGTTTCTTTATACGGTATATGTCTGTATGTCTGTAATGCCATGTAATGTAATGCAATGCAATGCAGTGTATATATGTATGTATGTATGTATGCATGCATGTCTGTCTGTCTGTCTGTCTGTCTGGATGTATGGATTTATGGATGTATGGATGTATGTATATATATATATATATGTACTGTATTATCATATGTGCGAATAAGTGTTTACACTTCAACCATACACTTGAATATTTTTACATATCGATTACTCTGCCCTAAGAGTGCCCTTTGGTACTGATGCTGCTCACATCCTGATTACATCCTAGCTACACAGGGCATCATTGGGCTATGGCTATGTTACCCGGCCCACTGAATTCTCTCATTGGGGAAAGCCCGAAAGCCAAAAGGCTTCCCTACATCCACTTCTAGTTCTCATGTGTGTCCATGACATCTTGATTTGGGCAGGTTAAATATGGTTAACTTCCTAAATGTGTGTTGGTATTTTAAAAAAAATGTATCATGTCATCATGTTCTATCCTCAAATTCTGGCCGAAAATGATAGATTCTAATAGAACTCCCCAGGCATCTGCACGTTTCTCCGTGGACGATGACGCCATTCGGCCTGATCCAACATGGGGATGGGAGGAAATGGATCTTAAAAGCTACTGCATCTGACTGCATCTGACTGGATATATTTGGATATATTTTGTTGCTATGTACATGATGTATCCCACTTCGAAATGACGTGGAATTGCTGGTGGATGGTACCAGTCCCCATTGGTGTGGGAGAAACACAAATCTTGCCCCGGACGAAGATTTGCACCTTGCATCGAAGCAAATCACACCTCAGCTGCAGAGTGTCTTATGAAATTCATATGGGTAGAGGATGGTGTTTCGGTCACAATTGGGGTATCCTTGGGGACCCACGGACCCACAGCCATGGGGCCATCAGAAAACATTGGACAAGTCATGACTCTTGTGATCTCAGCCAAACGGACAGACATCTTTGAAGCGTGAGACCAAAAGTTAGTTAGGGATACTCGGCCACAATCGGCCATATCTGTGTTCCTATTTCTGTGAAATGAAATCCCTATGTTGGGTGATGCTATAAATCCCAAGTTCGCTGGAGATTCAGTCCCCAGTTTTGATGATTCACTCCCCATTCTTTTCATGATAAAATCTCTCAGATCCCCAATCACGTTTGAAGAAATAGTCGTTCAACTCTTAACATCCCCCATTACTCCCCAATTATGTAACACCCATCATTACATTTACATATAATATACCCATTTCATGACCATTGAATCTCCGTTGAGGTTCCTATGATCAACTTGCCCAATCCCACCCGAGCCATGAACAATAATAGCCTTATCCCATCCCATAAGGTATCCCTATTGTTGCTCACAATATTCAATAGTCAACAAAAAACCAGGTGATAAAACCCCATAAAACCCCCTACAAATTTGTCTGAAAATATATAGGGTACCCCAAACAAGAATCCGGTGGCTTATCAGCTATGACCATTTTTTTCTGTATTTTGATGTGGCAAATCATCAACCAACAGGTATATTTAACATATCATGTCTGTCTGAAAATGGGATACCCCCAAACATTTCATGGTTTATTCTCAATCCTCATTTTCCCTAGATTTTCCCTATATGTTTCCATAGTTTCCCCATTAAAACAGCCATTTTGGCTCCGCCAGGTCACATTCCGCCAATCCATTCGATGGCACTGGCGGCGGTGTGCCTCGAAGTTCGTGGAAACAAAGGCGAGGAGAACATCTCCAATGACTCACCAGTCATGGGTGGTGGTATATATGTTCTATATGTTATATATTGTATATGTTATATGTGTTATATATGTTATGAACTGTAGACATTTTGAGTACCAAACTTCAGGGTGATATTTAGGAGGGGCCAAGCTGAGGTACCCGACAAAACCATTGATATTTAGGATGAGAAGGAAATCCTCCGTCATAATCGCTGAAAGGTGGAAAACTGGCCAGTGATCTACTATTGACTTCTCATTCACCAGGGTATACTATGGTATACTCAGTCGCTGGGGGTGTAAGCAATCAAGTCCAAAACGCAGGGACGCAAAGCCAACACCGTAACAAACAGAATTGAAAACAAGGATAATAGGCATATACAAGTATACAATGTGCATATCTAGTGAATAGAACATGATATTGCCAACCATAGGGATGCTGAGCATCAAGCCTAGGAAGGCTTACCTTGCTCGAGTCATCCATAAGGTGTGTCTCAACTGTTTGAACAATATTTTCTAGATTTTCCTCAGAAACACTTTCACAGTAGTTTCTTCTGATCACATCCTAGATACATGAGCTGAACAAATAAATACCTAGGTTTCTTCCTGAAGTCCCAACTCTTCTTCCCCAATTATACTATATATATATGCATATATCATATGTATAACGCCATATGTGTCTATATATATATATCTTGTGTTAAGCCCCCAAGGCTGGGTTTTTTACCCCAACCAACCGTCAACCGTCAACCGGTGTCCACCGAGGCACCAAGGAGCTGACGTGTGTTGCTCTCCAAGGAGCTGATCTCCACCTGGCTCCAAAATCGCGCGGGGAAGATGCGAGGAGAATAACCCAGGTATAACACTTACCATATAAATTACACAAATATAGATATACCTTATATATGGCTCAATTGACATATATATATATGTATATGTATAAATATATATAGGTAATGAATATATAACGTATTACATATATAAATTAACTATACCATAGTCACATATATATATGTAATACGTTATAATTTACACAAATATAGATGTGACTTTTACAAACTTCGGACATAATTATTATATGTTATCGGATATCTATGTGACGGGGTATAATGGGTTCTATCCCGTTTTAATTGGGTACCATGGTTGACCACATACTGGGATGCACTCCAAGTAGAACTGAGATTGCTATGTTTCATGCGTCTCCAATTAGACGAGAATCAAGGTGGCAGTGAAAATTGGGGCATGGTTGGTCCCAACATTGCTCTCTAACGCAGTTAAGCGTCCGAATTTGAGTGAGACATGCTTGGCATATCTTGACCAGAATCTTGGATAATATACAATGATATATATATATATATATTATATATATGTGTGTATATATATATATGATGTATATATATATATATATACAGTATAATATATCAGGTTACCCAGCTCATCCCAGATCCCAAACGAGCAGCTCATCCCTCAACCGCAGCTCAACGCAGATGGGATTCCCTCAGGTCCCAACCTCCTTCGAAAAGCTATTCCGTTGCCCAGTCCAACGACTCGCCACTTCCTGGGAAATCTGGGAAGGCCCCGAGTCGACGGCCAAACGCCGAACCGCCGAACTCACCGCAGTTCAGTGAAATTCTTCTGTAGAGTCTGGAGAAGTCACTGGTTAATCATATCTAAATTATGATATATCATTGATAGATATGATAGGCCTCTAAATTTTCTGATATGATATGATAATAAGTCTTTAGGCCTATCATATCATATCATAATAGGGTTTTTACGAGGGTAAATCCAAGAATATAAATGAATAAACATGAATCAACATGAATAAATCATCCCCCAGAGAGGTTCACATCACGTCACGGGTCTACCACAGCTACCGCCGTAGCCCGTACCGTAGCACCGTTCATCCCGGCCTCGATCCACCCTTTGGGGATGACCTGAGTGATGTCGTCTTGGAAGGTCACGGAGACCTCCGAGATGAGTCCGGGGCCCCGGGGCCCCGGAGGCGGTCGTGAGAAAGGTGGCATTTTTGAAGATCACCAAAGCATAGGTTGGAATGACATTCCCCCAGCATTTTAGGAGATACCCTCTGGTTATGTCAAAATAGCTATTGCCATTTATAGCGAGTTTTCCCACTAAAAATGGTGATTTTCCATAGCTATGTTAAATTACCAGAGGGTAACTTGGAAATTTCCCTTAAAATGGGACAACTTGGAGTTGTGCAGAAATGGGGTCAACTGAGTTTAGACCCATTTATTGCCATTATTCATCGCGTAATTGAGGTCTTCAACCACTGGATTTTGGTGGGATGTCCAATACTTTTCAAACAAACACAAATATCCCCAGACATCTTCCCTCTTGTGGGTTATATCCTAGTATGTCACCATGGCATGTTATATATGTATATATTAATATATTAATATATTAATTAATATATATATATTATTATATATATTGATATATATATATATATATGGATAATTATGTGTATATATATATATATCCGCACTATTACAGTATAAGTTATATCCTCATTATATCCCACTATTGAACCCCGCGATACAAAAGCGCCATTTTTTGGGGATACCGGGGATACAGCATTATACCGAAGCGGCGATATCCCACATCATATGATTATATTATTGGTGATGTCCCATATATCACGATATAAGAACGATATATATATATATATGGGTATATATATATATGGGTATATATATATATATAATACCCCAAATAATCATGCCTCATATGACTCATATCCCAAAGCATTTTTGTGAATTACATCGTGCTATATCCCACTATATCACCATCTTTGTTACCACATTGAAGGATATAGGCGCTTAGCGTTGTGAAGCAGCAATCTATCAGTTGTCCCATGTAATATAATTTCATGTCCCATTAAATGATCGTTGGTGATATCCCCATTCTATCCCCATTACAACCGTTATATACTTAACACATCATTATCATATTATCCACACTCATATGATATTGTGTGATAATTTTACTTATCTCATTCCTATGATATTATATAATATATATATACTATATTATATCACCATTCTATATCCCATCATACATCACCATCATCGTAATCCCACAGGAAAATGCCGATTTCAGTGTGCAACCAGGATGGGATTCTATGATATTTACCTCAGATTTCCAGGTTTCCAAGTTTTCTATCTATGACTTGGGGTTGCGCGATATGATGCTATATGTATAAATATCCTCAAGTAGATAGAATGTGGAATTTTCAAACATCTTCTGTTTTAGTGAGGATTCTTCGAAAATGCCATAGTCTATCTACTCAAAAGGATGACGTCATCTATTTTCGTGGCTAACATCGCCACCTTTGAGCCCTTTCACCCAGCCCTTGGAAACGCCTCGCCCCTCGGCAAAATGGTCACCACAATGCCGCGGTCCGTCTGTTCACTGCGTTGACTCGGTCGGAGATTTTCGTGGGAGATTTTCTGGCATGTTTTCCTCGGGATCTATGGTTTAATGATGCTTAATGTGCTTAAAACAATCATAAACCATCTCCTAAATCACCATTTTTATGGCTTGTAGAAACTTATACTGTATATAAACCATTCCAAAATGGAATGTTTCATGACGACATTGTTTTAACCACATGAAGTGGATAAAATATGGGACTGGGTTTCATGGGATTTCACGGCATTTCATGGGGATACTTTACCACTCATGGGGATACTTTATTATGGGACATAACTAAGCAAGACTATGAGAATGTGGTGTCTGAAAATTGGAATTGACCCCCCAATTATGGCAATTTCTCGGGGAAAAATAATGAGTCGCTATCAAGTTTGGGAGTACCCTATCTTGAGACAAAGCCAAGAAGATTGGTCACAGTGGTGAGTCATTCGACTTAGTTGTTAGGTTGGCCGTAGAAAAGGGCAACTGCTTTACTTTAAGATTCGAATAGTCAATTCCAACGATAGTTTTAAATCACCCCTCTCTATCATTTCTATCCGTTTGGGAGGTTGCTACACTGGAAATTAAGCAACAAAAAAAGGGGGACCACCCAGAATTAATGACTCAATGCGATTGAAAATGGGCATACAACCACTAATCTGAACAGAAAACAAGAAATAGTCCACAAAGCTGAAACAAACCATCACCATCCATCACCCAGAAACCAGCCATATTTATCCCAAAATTACAGAAATATCAAATTCTCAGAGCTACAGCTGTTACTTGACTTGACCATTAGACCATATAATCTTAACCAAACAGATAATGATATCTTCCAAACATCTACCATATATTTACCAATGATTTTTCACCATCTTCCAAACATCGACCTGTCCTGGGAATTGGCCGCCCGTGCTGAGCTTCCGGCTGCTTCCCAGGCCGTTTGAAGTGGGCGATGACCACATCCCCCGGCGAAAGCTCCGACACCTCCGAAGGGTCACCGGAGGGGCAAGGGATCACCCGGTTTACCCTCTGGTTATGTCAAAATAGCTATTGAAAATGGCCCATTTATAGTGGATTTTCCCATGAAAAATGGTGATTTTCCATAGTTTTTTGTATGTTTACCAGAGGGTAACCGGTGAAATATGACATTTTTTGAGGGGATCAATTCACCATGAAAGTGATACGAAGTTCACATCCATCAATTCAGCCCGGTAGATATGGATCAGTTCACTCTCCCCAGGTTTCAAAAAAAAACACATGGAGTTGTCCAAAAATGTCCAAAACCCCTAAATCTGCTGTTTCCAGAAATTTCCAGACACGTTCATCCCAGTTCTGTCCCATTGTATCCCCATGATATTCCCAATCGTCCATTAAAAAAAAACATGGTTCTTGGTTGTATCGTTATATCCCAGTATATCCTCAATATATAGCCACCCCGAAAAACATAGATACCAATATATAATCATATATAATATATAATATCATATATATAATCATATATGATATATAATTATATTATATTATATTATATTATGTATATATATATATAGTTATATAGTTACACAATATCAAGCAAATCAGCAATAATATCCCCATATTCCTCCCCTTTTGGGCACATCGGCACACCCGACCTGTGAATGCCAGTCGCGGATGCGCTGGGTGACCCAGGCCTATCAGCGGCCCGGCCCGACTTTCTGGTCAAGTTGGTTTGAAATGTTCTTCGAAGGATTGGTTTAAGAGAAAACCTGGAGGAAACCATGGTTTTTTACCATCAAATATAGGGGGTTTCCTGTAAACTTTCCAATGCATCCAATTCTATATAGTTTTTCGCATGCAGACCGTGCATGGCACCTAGTTCGGGTCAAAGGAATTGCACGAACTAACCATTTTGAGAAAGCCGGACTCGAGTTTGTCAGCCACTCCCATGGCCCATGGCGTATCTCACATTTAAATACATTTAAGGCTTTGTCCAAGAATGCGGTCGCCATGTTTAACATGTAAATTATGATAAACAAACGGATTTTAATACAAGTTGATCATCCTTTTATTGAATTTTACCATGTTAAACTATGGATTTATCACATTTATAGATCCCAAAACTTGGTTTTGTTAAGATCCCCACCCTGGGATGGGCCGCCCCCACCTTGGACACGTGCTGGTGAAATCCATCATCGAAGTACAACTCCACCTGATCCAAGTCATCGCTACCGTCGCTGAGCGCCGAGCTGTGAATCGCCAAAAACATCCAAACAGCCAGCAAAATAATAATTGATAATTATGATAATGATTATAATTAGTGAATATTGATAATAGTATCTCATTATTTTTGTGATGAAATTCATGAAAAAAAAGGGCACACAAAACATACAAAACCTCGATCCATGATGATGAAAAAGATCCATTGGTTTATCATCATTATCCCTAAAGCGGTCATAAATTGGCCATAAATTCTGCGATTTGAAAATGGTCCACCAATATTAAAGTCGATCCCAATAATCCTACAAGATCCTACAAGTATTCCTATGAAGCTCCAAAGCCCAAAATTAGGATATCGAAGATATCTAACGAAAATTCCAATTCGATCACACCTTTCTGACAATAGCAAAAAGTATAAAAAGTAAATCACTTGAAGCCGCGGCGGTTTGTTTTCATTCGCACGCGCCGACTCACGGCGCGTAGACCTGGCCAAACCAGGGCAGAACACCTCGTGGAGCACATGAGACCCAACATGCCATGAGTTGCCAAGAAACAAGCCCAAGGGAGAACCAGAATCTGCGACAGTGTCAAAATTTGAGGTATGTATTGCAAGATCAATCATATTACTTCCATTTATTTCCAGGGTTTTGGTCCTACACCCGTTCAGCAAAACTGCACCCATCTGCAAAAATCCCAGGGAACAGCAACATACAGCAGCCACGACACAACGACCACAGACCACTGCCGGCTGACTGGCCATATGTAACAACAAACCCGTGGAGGAGAAACATGGAACATTCAGCTCGCAAAGCATCCGAAAAGACACAACAGCAAATTGTCACCATTTCATCATATTCGTATGAGTCATGAATAAAAACCCTGGTGCTCTTCTGTTCACACCAAAATAGTCGGCAAATGGATGTGCATCTTTTTCACAGATCCAGAATCCAGAATCATCCAAATATTTTAGAGTTTTTGCAATATTACAGTCGGTTTTGATCCATACCCATATTTCATACACCCAAACCCACTCGAAAGCGCCTTCAGCACCACAGCGCAGCGTCACACGCGACGGCGCTTGGGCTTCGGCGACGGTTTCGAGGCCGCAGGGAAGAGTTGCGCGACGACAGCAGGGAGGCGGCCAGCCTTCAGATCAACCTGGTCGTTGCTTCATGCTACTCTGATGTGGTTGTTAATCGTTTCTAATATGTATATGCTATATATATATGGCAGTGTGTCAAAACCTTGTACCCCTGTAGTTCACATCAAAATAGCTGGTAAATGGATGGTCATTCCCCTAAAAATGGTATTAATAGGTATTGATCCATACCCATATATGTGCGTGTGTGTGTTTAACATGGTTTGATATGTTTTGATATGTGCGGATATGTTTTGATATGTTTGCGTGTTCACGTGTTTCAATATGCTTTAAATATACCCACACCATATGCTTTGCAACCAGATGTTTGTTGATTTGATGCAGGGGTCTGTGGGCCAATGGCCAGCCTGCCTGCACCTTCTTGGATTCGGCCCCAAAGCGCTGGGCAGCGGCCTTCAGCCTTTCAAGGCCCTGACATTCGCCCAAATCACTCTTGCAATGAGACGTGACTCGTTTCTGCGAAAAGATTGTATTCTGCCAAGTGGTGGCCAGTCTACGCTGTCTTTCAATGAATTGGCCACACAATGTATAAATATGATTAAATATGTATAATCTCCGTTCTGACTTGACCATCAAATTCCAAAAATTGCACACGGGGGGACCCTGTCCCAACACTTCCAAAGCTGTGTGGGGGAATGGTGAAAGATGTTCAGTCCACAACTGGCCTTGAGGACAGCATGCTCCCCAATCTCTGGAAAGCTTTCATCTGTAATCATACCTCCATCGTTGCTCCCAAAAGCACTTGTAGAGACAAACAGGGAACCCTGGCAGGTGCCAATAGGGATTTTTGGGACAGGAACTCTGTCATGCGGCTGTGTCTGAAAATTGGGGATGCCCCAAAGTTTGCCCCAAATTTTGTCACTTTATGATATGTTGTTGGGAGAATTATGATAAACCGCAGGATTTTGGGGTACCCTGTTTTCAGTTTCATCCTAGCCACCCGCCAGCAGATCGGCCAAGATGGCAACCACCACCTCCTCTTGCCAGCGATGAGCCAAGTCCAAAGCACCCAAGGCAGTTTGGTGGTCGAGCCCTTCTTGCACCGAACAGGTGTACAAAATCCTGGGTGATGGGGGGCAGCGGTGATAGGCGTGCTGCGCGATATGCTGGACAGCTCCGAAACAGGAACCGATCTAAGAATTGGTCCAAAGAATCAGGAACTTCACAAGTCCAGAATACGAACACCTCAGTTAACCTGCAGTTGTGATTAAAGATTTTAAAGAACAAGGCCTTCTTTTTAGTGACAACCCGGATGTCTGATGTTGTCTGATTCTTTGTCTATATATATATATAATTATATATATATACTAGTAGAGAGAGAGAGAGAGGGAGAGAGAGAAGGGAGAGATTCCAAGATATTCCAACAGTGCTCTAATCGGCCTGTCCAAGCATCTCCAGGAAGAGTGACACAGCTTTGCTGGACGTGTCGCTGATCTCAATGCGCTGGTCTTTCCCTTCCTTCATGGGCGATTGCAACATCGCGGTGACCACAGGTGATGCCCCTTTCACCATGTGAGCATGTGCTGTCACCAGCCCATCAGCAGTTTCGATGGTCAAGTCATGCGAATCCTTTGCCCCCAGAGACTTTTCCCACAACTCTGCGATGCCCTCGTCGATGGACACTCTCCGTCGAATGGGATGAATGGGTGGGTCAGTCAATGAGCCAGAGGCCTCCGCAAAGCACGACATCGAATCGCGCAGGAAATTGACCTCAGGCCCAAAGTCCCAACCTTATCTCATGCCATGCGTCCACAAAGGAAATGGCACTGCGGCCCTTGCAGTCCACCTCTCTTTCGTCGTCCTCCTCCGAGAAACAGATCCTGGATTCTCCACCAGTGCATTTTTGTGCTACGCTCGCCCCAGAACGGATCAGCCATTCAATTGAGTCGAGCGCACCCTTACATCTTTTAACTGGGCCCAAAACTGTGCTCTCAATATACGTGACCAGCACAGTCTTTCCACACACGGAGCGGGAGCTCCAATCAAATCCGTTCAGGTTAAGCTTCTTCAAGTCCTTCAGCGGGTAGGCACCTCTCAGCAAAGCCCAGAAAAGCTCCGCTTGTGCCATTTCGCCAACAGCCACAGGTCTGGGCCAAGTTGCAAGGATTGGCTATCTTGTTTGATCAATTACTTCCAAGCTCAAAGGAGAGCTCGCAAGAGGGTTGAACATTGGATATCCTGTGGACATTGGACATATTGGACTAATTCTTGATTCAACTGGGATCTGGTTTCCAGCAGCAACAGGATACCTGTGAGCTAGGCAGATGCTGCCACGGCTGCGAGTGGATACATTTTCGCGGATCAAAAAACACGTCGACGCACGAATGGGAATCTGGTAATCGTAATGTGCAAAACGTAGACCTGGTAACATCTATTTTAATGATTTTTAATGCATCAAAATCCATAAGGAATTACTGATCTATCCCCACTGATCTCAGCATCAGCATGATCAGCATGGCCTCCAGTAGGGACGTGCTCATCACAGTAGCGGGGGCCGAGATGCTGCTTTTTCCACCTCCCATTTTGAAGTGAGCCTGGCAGGGCCATGGCTGTGATGACCAACTCCGGGGATCTCTGGGTCCGATGACATCAGATGACACCAGCACGTGATTTTTCAAACTATCTGGTTGGTGGTTGAGCCACCTACCCCTCTGAAAAATGATGGAGTGAGTGAAAGTTTAGTTGGGATTTTTCCATTCCCAACTGAATGGAAAGTCAGAATCCAAATGTTCCAAACCACCAATCAACTATCTTCATGGTTATCCCAGTGCCGCCCTGGACCCTGAAGCCCCACTGCGCCTGCACCCGATCCGCCACAGTCCACTCGTGCAACCGCACGATCCAACCCAGGGGCACAGTCTGCAGAATCGTGTCCTGCCATCAGCAACTGGAACAGAAACCCGCAGCCTGCGCCAAGCTTTCCCAAGAATTGTTAACGATTCTACCAGAAACCCTTAGATTTTTGATGGTAAAAACGACAAAAGAAAAAAAAGAGAGGAAACCTCACAGAAAATCACGATAATTTAAGGATGAAACTTGTAAAACCATGTAAAAACTAGCTAAATCGAAGAAGATAAGAATTAAGATCATAACACCCATACACCCAACCAAGCCAAAAAAATTGCCATATCAATCCATATCACATTATAAATTATAATCTCCATGGATTTCCATCTGTCCTGGAATTGAACTTGTACTCGGCCTTCCATGGGCTCCGACAAAATGATGCCCATGTCCGTGTTGGTGCTACGCCGTCCATCATCACCCACCTGTGGTCCATGGAGCCATGCCCAAGTGGTGAATGGTGGTTATTAATGGTGGTTAATGGTGGTTAATAATGGTTAAAGCCATGGCTGGTTGGTGGTTGAGCCACCTACCCCTCTGAAAAATGATGGAGTGAGTGAAAGTCAGTTGGGATGATTTTTCCATTCCCAACTGAATGGAACAAATAATCCAAATGTTCCAAACCACCAACCAGTCATGATAATTTGTTGGTTCTAGTTGAATTATAATTATGTTGAATTTGCTAGTTCATATTTCCCCATTTTGCTGATGCATAATAGAAAAATATCCACCTCACATGTTTGTCGACCGTGATGTATTCCCACATATTCTCACATCGTAATAACTCACTAACCTGACTTATTGTGTCATTTGGGGATGATTATCAACATCATGATGATTCATTATAATGATCATTAAGATTGATTGTAACGATTCACTAACCAATAATTGTAATGTTTATGATGCTTAACATTTAAAAAAAATAGTTATTCACACTCATCAAAATAAATTGTGATGATTATTGTTCACTATATAACTAGTTCATAACCACATCTAACCACATCTAACCACATCATTCCCCCCAGCTGCCCCAGCCCACCTCATAGTGGATGTCCGCCACTGAGCCCACCTCAATCTGCAAGGTCCAAGGTCGTGCACGATGACAGACCTGGGGAAAAATCGCTTGTTCTCGACGTTGCAAAACAACGGAAAAACTGGGGATTTCATGGGGATTTCATGGGGATTTCATGGGGATTTCGTGGGATTTCGTGGGATTTCATGGGATTTCATGAGATTTCATGGGATTTCGTGGGGATTTCGTGGGGATTTCATGGGGATTTCATGGGGATTTCGTGGGATTTCGTGGGATTTCATGGGATTTCATGGTGGTTTAGTGGGATCTAATGGTGATGAATGCAGGTTTAACCTCTGCTAAACATACAAAAAACTATGGAAAATCACCATTTTTAATGGGAAAATCCACTATTTCGACTGGACCATTTTCAATAGCTATGTTAGTTTACCAGAGGGTAGGATGTATATAGGATTTAGCCAACAACAAGTTGGGTTCAAATTGCCAATAGGAATGGCCTCTGGTGAGTTGTTACACAGCTATGGCCAGCTATGGTATAGATGGCCCATAAATATCCATAAATTATGATGTATAATGATTTATAGACCTAAAACTGAAAATGGTGATTCTCCAGTTCATCATGAAACATGGGAATCTTCAAGATTTCGAACGTCAAATGCCAAAAAGTTGAGGTCGAGTTGATCCAGAAGTGGGTGGGGCAGTCGTCTTTCACAGCTATTTTTCAACAAATGACCCGTGGCAGTTTCACAATCCGAAAAGTTAAAATCGAGTGGGAACAGGATATTCCGGAAGCTTCCATGAGAGGGATGAATGATATTTATATATATATATATGTATTAATGATTCCCATCTGGGCTTAGAATAATTCACTAACCTGAAAAGTTCTGCTATATTGGGATAATTCCCCGGATCCTAACCATGATTCCAGGGCTCGGTCACAGTCATTTGGTCACTATGATTTGCCCAGATCCCATTTCTTTTAAATGGTGAAACCCATGACCCCCCTTGAACTCTTGCCGCCAGTCAACTGCTAGACGACAGAAGACCCATCTATGGTCGGGTTGGCCTTGAATTTTGACGCAGTTCCAGTTGTCATGGTAAATTGGTGGTTGTTCTATAGTGGATATTCACCCTTTTCTGATGCACAGATTATATCATATCTACACATCTCATACCTCCACATTGACATGATATGACATGATATTCTTCAATTATTGAATGACCTTCGAATATCTGCTAATCAATGACCCAAAAACATCTGGCATTCACCTACCATACACTAGTCACCCTGCGGTGCCCCTTTCGCCCGGACCCAGGTTTTGGGCACGTGCTGCTCCACATTGTCGTCAAAGACTGGCAATGGTTTTTCGATTTTTATGTGTCGATTCACCATGTCGAAACGGGGAAGTCCAACCATTTCCAACCCAACAATGGAGTGACATCCTCATCTTCATTGCCATGTTTCATGGACAAAACATGTTTTTAGACCATGGAAAAATGCCATGGTTTCCATGGGTTTTTAATGAGCGAAACATGATGATTCACCAGTGGAAAACCCATGCGCTATAATCTGACCAACAAGCTTTGCGGGCTGTGAGAGGCTTCAAAATGGGGATCGTCAATGTTTGCTCCCGTGTTGTGTGGCAAAAATGCTGAGGAACTTGTGTATATCTCCAATACATCCCAGTGAGGGGCAAAAACCAGAGATTTAATTCCTACCATGTCCTACCAATCTGCGATGAATTTACTGTTTGACATGGCATCACTTTCCGATACTTTCCGCCTACAAGGACCTCTTCCTTGTGCACGGCCAGAACGGAGCCCATGTCAGCTTTCATGCTTTTGGCACCCCTCGCCCTGCCCAGCAAGATATGGCAAGGTCAAACTGATGGCATCCTCCAGGGCGTCAAGTTGTTCCAAGATTAAACTCCAATGATGTGCCCAAAGGATCCCAAAAGGGGCATTTGGACGGAGACACCATGACCGAGACATTCATTGATTCGAGGAATCTACAAGGAAGCAATCAAGTGAAAAAATCAGACTCGGCATGTCCCTTTGTGATTGTACCTTATGTTCCAGATAAACGTAATTTCACTCATCAGAGACCTCAATGCGTCTCGCAGTTAACCCCAGTCAAAAGAAAGGAAAATGAATGTTTCGCCAAGTCAATGTCAAAGAATACCCTGTGGTAACTGTGGTAATATGCCAGTGAAAAAGACTGCAGCGTATCAAGTGACCCTTTTTAAGATAATGTTCTCATTCCACATGGTGATTTTAACCGGTTCTTTCTTTTCAAGAATATCTCCAACTATTTGCATCTCAGATATCCTGGCAAATCTTCAAGATAAAAAGACACTCTCACTTATTGATCCTATGGTTGGCTAATCATGTCATCCCCATTATATCCCCACTATATCCCCATGATATCCCCATGATATCCTTCTACCTGATGCGATGCGATGAAAACCCTGCAGAACGGCCTTCCACCATTCACCTTGAAGAAGGCATTGACTCGGTCGCCAGGGTCCAGTCGCATCACTTGCTCCACCTGCAGGCCGTGGCGTGGTGCGGATGGGATGGGTTTTCTTCAGATGGGGTTTTGAAACCATGAATTCCTCTGGTAAATGTTCACAGTTCGACGCTGAACATCAGCCATATTTTGAGTGGAAACATGTGGAAACGAATCTTCCAAGCCCGACTGCCAGGGTCTATGTTGAACTGGTAGAACTAATATGAACTAATGCTTCAAGGACTTGCGAAGATGAATGGATCACGGCCAAGGTCCCGGCCCAGCCCTGAGGGACCGTCTGGATGATTTGATCTTGGAACCTGCACATACGCAAGCTGTCCAAGGGCGGAAAGAAGAGCGAAATTTTCCAAGCAACCTCAAATAGTGTTTTTACATCTGAAGGTACAATGCTTTTTTCAGAGTTTCAGTAGCTTCGTGGATAAGTTGAGACTAGAGCTCCTATTTCCTCCTCGTAGTCCGCATCATCCTCATCCAAATCCTCATCGTCGTCCTCCTCCTCCTCCTCCTCCTCCTCATCCTCATCCTCATCATCATCATCATCGTCATCATCATCATCATCATCATCGTCATCGTCATAATCATCGGCGTCATAATCATCATCGTCATCATCATCATCATCATCATCATCATCATCAGCATCATCATCATCATCATCATCATCATCGCCGTCATCGTCATCGCCGTCATCGTCATCCTGCAAAGTGCGTTGAAAACATCTGGCTCCTGGCCCTTCTGGGTCTCTTTGTAAAACCACCCAGGCCCCATCCACTTGAAGCAAATTGACACATAGACATGGAACACTCAAGATTTCCTGTTCGATTATGATCTGCATTTATGGTGGATTCCATCCGGAGCCCACATAAGCAAGGCCCCACGCCTGATGCGCACCTTGCCGCCGTCCAGCAAGGACACTACCACGCCCAGATCTGTATTGCTGGTGCGGCCCTGCGTGCTGTGGATGTGGAGTTCACTGATCTGTGTAAGATCCACTATAAACTGATATGATCTGGAAACCAAAGGCCAGCCTTTCAGGTGTTAATTTAAGTAGAAAAATGGTAAAAGGAACATTTGGGAAGGTACGTCTTGGTGTCTAGGAGGTACTAGGATCTACAGGTTTCGTTTTACATGTCGGAGCTGGAAAACTTCAAATTCTTTCAGGTGCCAACTTTGAACTTTGAGTTGACAGCATCCTGGCCAGCGTTACATGCAAAAAAAGATCAGCCGGATATGGAAATATTCTCCAGCTGTAATTGTATCCACAAAAAAAATGTTATAAATGGTTATAATACAGTAGAAACTTCAAGCCATAAAAAATCCAACCATGCGCCACACTCAGCCCTTCAACGGGCCACCTTTCCAGAAGCATAATGCGAATAGACCACATCTCCAGGCCTTGGCGCAGTCTCCATTTGTTTGGGAGTTCATGGATGTTCATGGGGATTTTACATGGTGATAACTCCATCAAAAATTGTTGCATCATGGGGATATGAAAGGGGATTGATCTGGAAACTCAATCACGGGAAAATCGTAAACTCAATGGAGCGTCATCGACCTGCAGGTGGTTTTCCAGCTAGCCATGTTGGAGTACCAGAGGCTACACTTGGAGTGGTTCTGGAAATGGTGTATAACCCCCTAAATTCCAAGGGTTTCAAGGAATTCAAGGTTTGGAACATCATTCTTCTTAAGCAAATTACTCCTCGGGATGCAAGTATTCCCTATTTTCAGACACACTAAATCCTAGGATTTGGGCTGTTTTTCAAACCGAACCCCATCCAAACTATATCAAATTCATCCAAAAAATAATCCTCAATATCACTAACTTGCATGAATAGTCATGATATGTGTTGCTAATAAAGAGATTTCAAAAACTCTTAGACCTGACATTTCTCAAATATCTCATTAAAATCCCATTAAAATTGATGAACATCGACTTTTTCACCCAGGCACGCCAGGTCCAGCTCCCAGGCTCCGAGGCGTTCCACGACCCAGGTCTGGCCGGCCGTAAAAAACCGTGGATATCCAGATCTGGATGAGTTTCCCATGGGAAAACCTCAGGAAAATATGGGAAAAGATGGGAAGATCCATGAAAATCATGTATAAAATTCGATAACTTTATGGGAAAATATGGAAAAATATGTGAAAGTCATCTATGAATGAAATTGAAGGTTTATTTTCTGGTTTATTGCTTCGGGGAACTCATTGAACTAAATGGAGGTGTCTACCTGATTCGGATACCATAGAAATGATGGGATTTTCCTATGGGATTTTCGAGCAAGACACGTTTGATTCCTGGAGGCTATGATACTTTCGGGTACCGGCTAGGTCCAATGGATTCCATAGCTCGGTTGGGATGGTGGATATGGTGATGGGCTGACGGTTTGTTTACGGCCATCCCATTAGCAACGCCCCCACCCTCGCCCCTTTCCTTCGAGATGAATTGGGTGGCACCATCATCGAATTGAACCTGTTGCATTCTGCTGGAACAAATCCTATCGGAGGTGTGTCTGTGTGCATGAGTCTTGACAGAGTACCCGAAAGTTCACCTCCGCAAAAAGAAGAAAGTCGATCTTGGGAAATGTGACAAGTAAGTGCCTACTTTGGGAGTTGACAACTGGTCTTGTTTTAGCCGTTTCCTGACGATTCGTTTTAACCAGTTGGGATCAAATTGCCATTTGTAGGATGCAAAATTAGACATGTCCAAACCATCAACCAGATCCAAACGATCCCAGGAATCCGGGACCTGATCTGTGGCTTTGATTTCCAGTTATCACCAGCTTTGTTCGTTGAATCCCATTCTATCCCCAGTGTGTCGCCAAAAAGCGAAAATCCATGGAGTCAGCATTTTTGATGCTTATATATATATGCTTATAAGCATCCCCAAACAAAAGATAGAAAAGTAAATCCATTTCGATCACCTCGCCTCAGCCTCCGAAGTGGTGAACTGCAGCAGGGTGCCCACGTCGGTGGCTGAAGCAGAAGCTGGAGGGCCCCAGGGGCCGCAAAATGTAGGGGATACCAAGGGATTAATACGTGTATATATTATTATTATACTATTATTATATTATATTATATTATATTATATTATATTATATGAGTATATATATATATATACATACACATTGTGGGAATATTTTTTTTTTTTCGGAACATGTTGGGAATATCTTTTGGAAATATGTTTGGGACATATGTTTTGGGAATATGTTGGGATTGTCTTGGGGATATGATTGATATTGGCAATACCTTATCAATTGGGAATATGAATGCTGAATACTGGGGGATGCCAACATAGATTCGAATCAATTGGGATACCAAAATGTTGGGAATATAAGTACTGTCTTGTGGGAATGTTATCAATTGGGGATTCAACATGATTCAACAAAAAGGGATGATATGGAGGGGAGATATATGGAGATATCCCCTTGAAATTTGGAACTCTTCAACGATTTGGATAGACCCAAGAAACCAACTTGGCACCTTGGCTCTTGGCTCCATGGCTGTTCTGGAAATGTGCACCTCAGTTGGGAAACCAACTAAATCAGTGTCCGTTTTAACCCAAGGTTTTCCAACCGCCAAAAATCCATCCTATCCAACCATAAGGGAGTGGCTGGAACCTGGAGTCCGAGAAGGGCTATTAACGCTGGATTTAAGCTGGCCAAATACAAAGAAAAAGTCTCAAAACCATCAAAGAAAACATGGTAACCGACCGCCAATGTATCTATATGTGATGTATATATATATACGTATTATTATATATTACTCTATTTATTTACATATATATATATATATACATATGTTATATATATATGTTATATATATATGTGTTATAATATATATATATATGTTGTAATATTGTGAAGTGCTATCCAGGGAACCGTTGGAAGTGGTCAAAACAATTATTTAGTAAAAAAACTGTAAAAAAAAATTGTACCAGAACCTGTGCCCAAACAAAATCTGTAAAAAACAATTGTACCAGAACCTGTGCCCAAACAAAAACTGTAAAAACAAAATGTGCCAGAACCTGTGCCCAAACCTACCGCAAAAGGTTGCCAACTCAGGAAGCCTAAGACTCTGGCAGATACGTCGTGCATCCTTCATCCATGCTGAAAGCCGTTCTCTGTTTTGCAGTTTTTAAGTCTGAGTTGTTTAAGTTTGTTTTTAAGTTGCTTACGTGTAGGTAGGCATACGTATTAGCGACGAAGGAGTGGGTATGTATGTTACGCGTAATGTAGCACGAGGAGTTCAAGGTTGTCTAATAATTTGACGATCTGGTCAGGTACCCGCATGTTGTCAATTTTTTTGATCACGTTTTTCTCACATACACTCTTTTCATTTGTGTCTTCCTTATTTTTCCAGGTACACTTTTTTCACTAGTTGTTTCACTATTCTTTTTCCAGGTACACTTTTTTCACTATTTATTTTCACTCCTCTTTTCCCAGGTACACTTTTTTCACACATTTTTTCACTATGTTTTTCACTATGTTTTTCCGGGTACACTTTTTTCACACTGTTTTTTCACTATTTTTTTCCAGGTACACTTTTTTCACACTTTTTTTTCACACTGTTTTTCACTATTTTTTTTCCGGGTACACCTTTTTCACACTGTTTTTTCACTCTTTTTTTCCAGATACACTTTTTTTTCCGATTTCAAAAGAGTAAAAAAAGTGTACCCTTACGAGGAAAACAATCAAAATTAGAAAAAAAAAAAGTGCATTTTCCTCGTAAGGGTACACTTTTTTTACACTTTTGAAATTTGAAAAATAGTAAAAAAGAGTAAAAAAAGTGTAAAGAAAGTGTACCCTTACGAGGAAAACAGTCAAAATTAGTAAAAAAAAGTGCATTTTCCTCAAATGCACTTTTTTTACACTTTTGAAATCTGAAAAATACTATAAAAGAGTAAAAAAAGTGTAAAAAAAGTGTACCCCTACGAGGAAAACAGTCAAAATTAGTAAAAAAAATGCATTTTCCTCGTAAGGGTACACTTTTTTTACCACTTTTGAAATCTGAAAAATAGTAAAAAAGAGTAAAAAAAGTGTACCCTTACGAGGAAAACAGTCAAAATTAGTAAAAAAAGTGCATTTTCCTCGTAAGGGTACACTTTTTTTACACTTTTGAAATCTGAAAAATCGTAAAAAAGAGTAAACAAAGTGTAAAAAAAGTGTACCGTTACGAGGAAAACAGTCAAAATTAGTAAAAAAATGCATTTTCCTCGTAAGGGTACACTTTTTTTTACACTTTTGAAATCTGAAAAAAAGTAAAAAAGAGTTAGGGAAGTGTAAAGAAAGTGTACCCTTACGAGGAAAACAGTCAAAATTAGTAAAAAAAATGCATTTTCCTCGTAAGGGTACACTTTTTTTACACTTTTGAAATCTGAAAAATAGTAAAAAAGACTTAAAAAAGTGTAAAAAAAGTGTTATATATGTTATATATATAAATATGTTATATATACATATGTTATATATATATATATCTGTTATTTATATATATATGTTATATATATATGTTATATATATAACGAGGCAGCACTTGGTGTCTTACCACCCGCCAGTCTGCTTTTGCATGCGGTGTGTAATATATGATATAAAATTTCTGAGATATTATATAGATGTAACCTGTACTGTATATAGATATATTATCCCCTCTCCTCCCATACTGCGGCTCCCCACAGACCCGGTCACCGGCGCGCAGGATTTCCTTCTGCCGGCCGAACATCCCCCGGTGCCGGTGCCATTGCCTGGCGGAGTTGAAGCAACAGGATGTCATGGATGGAATACATATAACTACATATAATGTATACATATAAGTATATTTATTGTAATATGTCTGGTATGTACTATAACCTGAGAAGGGGGGAACGAAAGCCAGCATCCCATCTACCCCTATTTTCCACCATACTTTTCACCCAGAGACTCTTCAATACATTTCACCCATATACTTTTCACCCAGAAACTCTCCTTGCACAGACTTTTCACCCATATACTTTTCACAAAGAGACCCTTCACCCAATTTTTTTTTCTTGCACATACTTTTCGCCCATATACTTTTCACCCAGAGACTCTTCACCCAGAAACTCTTCTTGCACAGACTTTTCACCCAGAGACTCTTCACCCAGAAACTCTTCTTGCACATACGTTTCACCCATATATACTTTTTACCCAGAGACTTCACCCAGAAACTCTTCTTGCACATACTTTTCACCCAGATACTTTTCACCCAGAGACTCTTCACCCAGAAACTCTTCTTGCACATACATTTCACCCATATACTTTTCACCCAGAGATTCTTCACCCAGAAATTCTTCTTGCACAGACTTTTCACCCAGAGACTCTTCACCCAGAAACTCTTCGTGCACATACTTTTCACCCATATACTTTTTACCCATATACTTTTCACCCAGAGACTCTTCACCTAGAAACTCTTCTTGCACATACTTTTCACCCATATACTTTTCACCCAGAGACTCTTCTTGCACATACTTTTCACCCATATACTTTTCACCCAGAGACTCTTCACCCAGAAACTCTTCTTGCACATACTTTTCACCAATATACTTTTCACCCAGAGACTCTTCACCTAGAAACTTTTCTTGCACATATTTTTCACCCATATACTTTCACCCAGAAACTTTTCTTGCACATACTTTTCACCCATATACTTTTCACCCAGAGACTCTTCACCCAGAAACTCTTTTTGCACATACATTTCACCCATATACTTTTCACCCAGAGATTCTTCACCCAGAAACTCTTCTTGCACAGACTTTTCACCCAGAGACTCTTCACCCAGAAACTCTTCGTGCACATACTTTTCACCCATATACTTTTTACCCATATACTTTTCACCCAGAGACTCTTCACCTAGAAACTCTTCTTGCACATACTTTTCACCCATATACTTTTCACCCAGAGACTCTTCACCCAGAAACTCTTCTTGCACATACTTTTCACCCATATACTTTTCACCCAGAGACTCTGCACCCAGAAACCCTTCTTGCACATACTTTTCACCCATATACTTTTCACCCAGAGACTCTTCACCTAGAAACTTTTCTTGCACATATTTTTCACCCATATACTTTCACCCAGAAACTCTTCTTGCACATACTTTTCACCCATATACTTTTCACATCCCCTACTAGATTAAGTGGGGGGGTTGGGTGCCCCCATTTTATAGTACTAAAACGGGGGCACCCCTCCCCCCCCGGAGTGGGACCTCTATAAAATGGAAACACCCAAGGTCACAAAACAGGTGCACCTCTATAAAATAAGAAATTTATTTGAAAAAGCAAATATTTACAGCTACAAATTTACTGCAAAACCCTCCATCACTATAAAATGGGAGGCCCCAACGTACCCTGGAGCCTAGCCTTAAAATGAAGGAACTAGCCAACTTTCTACTATAGAATAGGAACCCCCAACCGCCTGTATCTTACAACATCCAAAAATGAATGGTTTCTTGAGGGGTTGGGTGCTCTGATTTTATAGAGATTACATGCCCTTCCTGGTAGGATTTTCTGGGGGTTGGGGGTTTCCATTTTATAGTGCCGCAGCCTTCCCACATCCTCCCACCATCATCGCCCCAAAGACACCACATTTTTCTTTAGCCCGGGACGTCCCAAAGCCAGGGGATGCTGACACAAAGACCAAGACTTATTTTCTGGTAGTTTTCCATTGGTCCCATGCTGTCCCATGTCCCAAAAGCCAAGGGATGTCGACAAAAAGACTCCAAGCTGGGTATTTTGTTGTGTCGACGGAGCTGGGTATTTTTGGGGCAGCTGGGTATTTTAGGGTAGGATGGAGAAAAATAATTTTATAGTGGTCCCATGTTGTCATGTCCCGAAGCCAAGGGATGTCGACAAAAAGACTCCAAACTGGGTGTTTTGTGGTATCGACAGAGCTAGGTATTCTGGGGCAACTGGGTGCTTTCGGGCAGGATAGGATGGAGAAAGTTGTCTATTTTATAGTGGTCCCATGCTATCATGTCCCGAAGCCAAGGGATGTCGACAAAAAGACTCCAAACTGGGTGTTTTGTGGTATCACTGGGTATTTTGGGGTAGGATGGAGAAAGTTTTCCATTTTATAGTGGTCCCATGTTGTCAGGGATGTCAAATTTGAAAACTCCAAGCTGTGTATTTTGGGGTGTCGACAGAGCTGGGTATTTTGGGGCCGCTGGGTTTTTTGGGGTAGGATGGAGAAAGTTTTCTATTTTATAGCGGTCTCATGTCCAAAAGCCAAGGCCTGTCGACAAAAGACTCCAAGCTGGGTATTTTGTTGTATCGACAGAGCTAGGTATTTTTGGGGCAGCTGGGTATTTTTTGGGTGGTTTTCCATTTTATAGTGGTCCCATGCTGTCCCATGTCCCAAAAGCCAAAAGATTTCTCCAAGCTGGGCATTTAGGGGTATCGACAAAGCTGGGTATTTTGGGCCAGCTGGGTATTTTGGGGTTGGATGGAGAAAGCTGGCTTTGTTTGTCCACTCTATTCCATTCTCTTCCATTCTTACGTTTCTCCATCATTACCCTTCTATTATCTCAGTGTGTCTAACGCTTACCCAAATGCACCTTCCACAATCCCTACAGTTGCACCGTATAAACGGTTTTGCTCGTTTCTTCCATGGTTTTTTTTCTGTGCTTCTACTCCATAGTGGTCACACATCGAAACTGCAATTTTTCCATTGCTTTTCCATTGTTTCACGCGTGCTTTACGCGACAATGGTCCCACATCGGAGCCTCAATTTTACTTGGCATCATTTTACCCTCTCCCTATTCTTTCCACCGTTTCGCCTCGCGTTTTAATCAATCTTCCAAGCGTTCTACTCAAATTTTCCATTGCTTTCCCATTTTTTTTCCATTGTTTTATGTCAAAGTCCCTTCTTTTTTCCATTGTTGTTCTCATCATGTTCCCCTCCTTTCCCATTTTTTTCCCATTGTTTTATGTCATATTCCCTCATTTTTTCTATTGTTTTTCTCATCATTTTCCCCTCCATTGCAATCTGCCCAGATCCACCTCGGAGGGTGGACCAGGGGGGAATCGATACCCCAACGTCGCCCAATTGCCACCTGGTACATAACCCTAAAAAAGTTTACCTGTGGCCACCTTTTTTACCACCTAATTTCCTCATTTTTGTCCCTCTCGGGGCGCTCTGCCCCCAGACCCCCTTAACTCACTTTGTTCGCAAGAATAACTTCGTCTAGCCTAGCGGCTGGCTTTCGTGATAAATTGTAACATGTCTACTTTGTACTATAGTATTTAAATATATATATATATAGAGAGAGAGAGAGAATAATATTATGTATATATATATATATATATGAGGCTCCAGTTTTTTCCTCCATGGCCACTGTCAACCTCAGCAAGCAGGGTGAATGTATATATAAGTATATCTATTGTAACATGTCTAATATGTACGATAGTAATTTGTAAGATTTCCCATTTGTACTATAGTATTCATAATAGAGATATAATATATATATACTGTAATATGAAAGCAACGAAATTGGAGGGTTAAGCATGTTTCACCTGCAGAACAAGGTACCACTTTCTAGCCCCCTTTTGTGGGAAACCCCTGGTGTATCCTGCCATTTGGTCAACCACCAGGTCGTGCACCTCCAACTGGGGGATTGGGCTCAAAATCTGGCTCGCCAAAACCCAAACGATATGGACTGCAAGGTATACCTTGTTTCAGATTGCAACTCAGTGGCGCTAGACGAAGATGGATCCACACAGCTTTTAACCTCCCAGTTTCTTACAGTTTTCTTTTGGGACTGAATGGAAACCTCTATGTTTGTAGGTGAAGCTATGGCAGCTATGGCTGTCTCATTTGCCAATCCAATGTCTGCGGAGGCCAGGCTCTGAACTTTTTTTTCGGCAACAAGCAGAAGCCCCAAACCGATCTAAGTTGGTTTCTAAGCCCATCAACGTCATCAACTATAGTTATATAATGTTATATATATATATATATTAAAATCATGTCGTATAACCACTATTGTAGTTATATCACCACTATAGCTATATATCCATATATATCCTATAGTTATTTCATTTATGACCTTAATCAACCCAAATTCGTGAAGTGCAACGTAGTCGACTTCGAGTTCGGCATTTCGGCCTCACCTTAAAGGCCAAATGTTGGCTTCAACGATGGTTTATGATGAGTCGGTCCTGTTAAAATTTAAAAAAAAAACGCAAAAAACGAGTTCTATCCTTTTTTCAGACATGCTCCAAAATTGGGAATTTCAGACATACAACAAATATCAACAAATCGTTTTACCCAGACACATTTAAGAATCCATGAATCCCCCATCTGGTGCTGCAGATTTCTGTCCCATCTCGGAGGCCAACTTCGGCTGGCGAGAGCTCCTGCAGCTCGAAACACTCCAAGCGACCTGAGAAACTGCTTCGGAATTCCGCAGATTGGGTGCCAGTAATTATAACTTGAAGACTTCAGCAGATTGATGCAAAAAAAACAAAACTTTGCTGCAGTGAAACATCCGATCATGTTTTTTTGAACATGTTAAGATATGTTAAGTAACAAAAGGTGGAGGGCAACATTTTGGGATCATCCCACCGTGTCAATGGGTCCCCTCGGGTCGAGTCGTTGACCAAAAACTCGGTCAAAGAATGACTGGTTGGTGGTGCAATAATCAATGGGAAATCCAGGATCCTAAAATGGAGGTACTGTACCATATAGGGCATATTTAGGTTCCTGAAATGG